TGGAGGTTGCTGTGAGCTGTGATGCCACAGCACTCTACCGAGGGCTACAAAGTGAGACTCTGTTTCTAAAAAAAAAGTTTTTGGAAAGAAAGAAAAAAGAAAACAAAGGGAAAAAAGTTATCAAGAAGCAATATAGGAAAACTTTCCAACACCAAAGAACATGAGTGTCCAGCTCCACAGGCCTCACCAAAGTGCCTGGGTGACAGACGGAGAAAGAGCCACACTAACATTTGAAGGCTTCTGAAGACCAGGGAGGGGACGGAAGCCCCATGTAAAGATATGGAGCGGAATACCATCCAATTTCTCAGCCCAGCCCTGGAAGATGGCAAACTGGAGAGCAAAAGACTTAAAACTCCTGAATAAAAACAATTTTCAACCTAGAATCTTATGCCCAACTGAACTATATTAATCAAAAGTCAGCGTAGAATGAAGATATTTTCAGCCTCAGAAGAATCACAAAAAGTATTTTCTTTTTTTTTTTTTTTTCCAAAAAGTTACCAGCAGGGAAAGTTCCACAAAACTGAGAGAATAAACCAAGAGCTTTGGTCAACAAGGAGGGCAGGGCAGGAGAGTGGTAAGAATTCCAGAGGGAGCCGGTGGGGAGAGGGGACTGGCCTGGCCAAGTGGCTGGGGGCTCACATGCCCTGGACGTGTGGGCAGTGCTATGTACGGAGAGGTGTCGGACGTGGCTGTCGGGAGGGTTTGAGAACACAGACAGCCAGAGAAATGAGAAAACAGGCAATTATTAATTCCAGAAAATGGTAAAAAGCATGAGAAAAAGAAACTAATCAGATGACAGTGCTTGGATTAGTAAATATTTACATAGTCATGACAACATAAATCCAGAATATCGATTTAGTGAAAACTTATGTGCACTAACTGCTTGGAGCTGGGAGGAGGGAGGCGGTGGGAGCGTCCAGGAAAGGAGCTTATCACTGCCCTGCCTGGAAAGCCCGTGGAAACTTCCCTCGGGGTGAGGAGCTGAGGCACGGCTGTAGAGCAGAGTTTGAAGTGTGGAAGTCCAGACGGAAGAAACAGCCTAAGCATCTGGGAACAGCCACCTCTGGAAAGTGGACCTGGCCTTAGGGCTGGTTGAGATGGGTGTCATCTGAGGACTGCTGGTTTTCTTTCCATAGACTACTGGATTTTTTTTAACAATATTTTTATTTTGCCTTGGGGAAAATGAGTTTAATGATCAGTAGGGAGAATTAACCCCTCTTGGCAGCGCAGACACGAAGGCTCAGCAAGCCCAAAGGACTGGCCCAAGACCCCAGCGAGGCTATGTCAGGACCAGAGCTGGGTCCCCAGGACACCGTTGGTGCCAATGACTACAAGCAATGGTCACGGGAAAGATGAAAACTGAGTCTCAAGAGATGAGTCTGCTTGACCCTCCAATGCTGGAGGAAGAGTTTTTTAAAAGTTCAATCCATTTACGTTACAGCTGGTGAAGGCACTTGAGTTCGGAAAAACGTATGACCGTAATTTGTATTTATTTGATCCGAAAGCTTTACTTTCAAAGAGAGGGAGAAATATGGGACCAGGGGAAATTCTTTTCAATGACCGTGAATTTCCAGGCCACAAAGCAGGGGAGACAATTTCCATAATATTCCACCTTATTCTGTACACGTTTCCAGGCAGCCTTTGATGCCGCAGTTTAGAAAGTGGCCCAGGGCCTCTGGCTCTAAAACAAATCAGCTGCTTCCCTCCCTTCCCCCCACCCCACTCCCCTGTCCCTTGCCAGCCTGCATTCCAGTGGGGTGCAGCTCAATGTCAGGGTTCCAGGGCTCCTGCCAGGAGTGGGTTCACAGAGTTCTCCAGCCGTGGATGTCCTCATGTTGGTGGGAGACTTTCAAGTAAAAGGACAATTGCTGAGCAGTGTGAGAGGTGGCCGGGCTCGCCCACCCAGATCAAAATGGGAAGGCCTCAGCAAGGCCTGGGCCTGGGTGCCCGGCCCTCCTCCCCTGACACTGCCTCTCTCCCAGGACCATACTCTTTTTCATTCTTCCTCTCGTTTCCAGGCCTTTCTCTACGCTGCTTCCTCTGCCTGGATCACTCTTCCTTCCAGCCTCTGAGGTCACCACAATGATCACGTTGTACTTTGTTGTTTGGGGAGTGGGTTGAAGTTTGTTGAGCGAAGGAAGAAAATGACAAGGCTGTGGATTCAGGGCTTAGAGGCAGGAATTCCGGCCTTGTGTCCTGGACAAGCTACTTTCACCTATCCAGTGGTTTCTCGTAAGGTTGTCTCACCAGCCACTGGTTCAGAAGCACTTAGGGCAAGGGTCCTCAAACTTTTTAAACAGGGGGCCAGTTCACTGTCCCTCAGACCATTGGAGGGCCGGACTGCTGGCCCCGGGACAAGTCAGCTGTTAAGCAGGACAGGCAGTGGCGGCAAAAACACCCAGCAGGCCAGATAAATGTCGTAGGCAGGCCGCATGTGGCCCGTGGGCCATAGTTTGAGGATGCCTGTCTTCGGGACCCTGCTACAAATGCAGCCTCTTCACATTGGAAGCCCCTGCACTGGGGCTGCATTTGGGTTCAAGACCTTTCTTCTAGGGCAGTGATTTCCAACCTTTTTTTTTTTTTAAATCTCACAGCACACTTGAACCTATACTTAAACTTCCACGGCACACTTAAATTACGTCGATCAAAAAAAAAAAGAATATATTTACTGTACTTTGAGCTTCTTTCAAAAATAATTTAATGAATGATCTTTAAAAATGTTTTCAGCACACCTAAGACCCTCTCAAAGCACACTGTGTGCCATGGCACACTGATTGAAAATCATTGCTATGGGTAACAACCTTCTACTGGGCTGGTCTGTGTACTGGCAGCCCCTGCCCCTGGTCCCATGAGGCTTCTGCCTGGCTACTCACAGGGTAGGGAAGAAACGGAGGCCACCCTAGCCTCTGGGCCCACAGCATAGCCTCCCCTGCTGTGGGGATTTTCGTGCAGGTGGACTTGAAAGTATTCGGTTCCCTGTGTTTCAGTTTCCTCACCAGCATAGGCATGCCTCCAACCCTGAGATCCTGGATGGTTGTGAAGGTTGGACCAGGATACAAATGTCCTTAACCCCACAGAGCTAGGAGGCAGCCTGTGAATCAGGAGTACTCACACAGGCCTGGGATTGCCATAGGATGGAGAAGGCAGGTGCTGGTGGGCCCTCTCCACTGACTCACCTTCCCCCTGGTCCCACACCCACTTGTGTGAGGAAGGTACCTCCAGTGATCAAGGGGGAAATAGTGACCCAGGGAGCATTGGCAGGACATTTCCAATATGTTTGGCAAGGCTGGGACTCAAGCTAGAGCTTTCTGCCTCCTCTCAAGGACAGGAGAGGCCCAATTCCATTACAAACTTCAAAATTTTCGCTGTTTAGCTAATAGTCTCTGCTCAGAGTAGCTGTTTGGGTTGGGTCGAGACGCCCTCTGGTGGCCACTCCCTTGGCCGTCCCTGCTGGGCATAGGGAGGAAAGATATGAGATGTGCTGGTGGTGGAGGGTCAAAGGGTCTACACAGGTTGCAGGGGCCATCCTAGGTGGTGGAAGGAGGGAGAGGCTTGGACTCCCCCAGGAGTCACTGTGCAACCTGGAACAAGCCCCTGACCACTAACACATCAAATCATCAGGGAAGATGAGCCTGAAGGAACCCCCAGAGACCATTAATCTCTCCTGGCTTGTGCGTGACACAGGGGAGAAAAGGGGGAGGCCCAGAGACTCTGGACAGGTGTGACAGTGCCTAGGGTCCTTGGAGGTGCAGGGGGGCTTTCAGAGCCTGTTCTCCTGGACTCTCAAACCCACCTGACTTCTGCCCCCAACTCGGGCCCCATTGTCCTTGTGCAGCCCCCACCCCAACTGTCTCCACTGTCCTCCCTCACCACCTGTCTCAGGACCCCCACACTGCAATGGTCACCAGGCAGGCTGAGGGCAAGTTCAGTGCTGCCTCCACCAGGGAGTCCCCTAGACCAGCTCTACACCCTGCCCCCATTCAACTCTCACACACCAAGGACTCCCGTGGGCCAGGCCCCGTCTGGGTGCCTTCACGGAGCCTCTCTGCTGGAGCTCCCAGCCTTCCTTCCCAGGCCCCCAGGCTCTGGGGCCTCACCTCCTACAATCCACCACCATCTCACTAAGATCCACCACCTGATGGGCCCCTAGGACAACCGGCCACAAGCCTCACACCTCCCTGTCCCCATCCTTGAATGACAGTCCGTGACCCCATGTAACCTGGCCCCTGGCCCTCTCAGCTTAGGGAATTTCTTTTAGTTCCTCAAGTATGAAAACCTCTCTCCCACCTCAGAACCTTCACAAGTGACTGGACCCAGTTTCTGTCCACCTGCCCCCAGTTTCTATCCAGGAAACTTTCCCTGAGTCTTCAAGCTGGCCAGAGGCCCCCTCTGTCCTCCGGGCCCTGAGCTTGCTCTGTCCCAGCCCTGCCCCCCTGTGTCATGCGTCTGTCCCCTGCGAGGATAACAGCCGACCCTTCCTAGAACCCGCTGGGGGATGCTCTGCATATGTTCGTTATGCATCATACATCACAGTCCCATTGTCATCATTGTGTCACAGATGGGAAAGTGAGGTCCTGTGTCCTCCATCCAAGGCTATGGCCAAGTATACTGTCTGTGCTGTGCAGGGCTTCCCTGATCCAGAGCTTTATGAGAATAGATGCCTCCAGATCTGGTTTAAATGGAACGCAGCCTGGGAGCCACCCGCCCACCAGCCGGGGATGAAGGCTGTGCGTCCCCTTTCATGCTGTTTATTCTTTTGAACAAATTGTGAGCTTTACAAGACATTGAAGGCCAAGGGTGGCAAACAC